CTGAAGTAATGGATGCCTGGAGGGAGAGAAGATCTTGGTTAAATATGGAGCTATGTGGGTGGAGAATGACAGGAGACTACCAGAAAATGGCTTACCTGAGAGTTCGGATGCTGGGATGAGGACTGTCTGCCTTTATGGATGCTGCAGTGAGGACTGCCGTTAAGGATGCTGCCTCTTGTTGTGCGTAGATGTGTGCCTGGTATGATAATGTACAAGGTAAGACAGTAATGGGGTATAAGGGCCACAACATTGCAGAGGAGACAGAGGAGGAACAGGGCTGCGGACATTGTATACTGGGAATAATAAATCCTGCAGAGAGATGGTGGCCTACGCAGCAGTTAAAAGCCGCTATCAATCACGGCAAAAATGAACTAATTTATTGCAGGTCGGAGCCAACCAGGTGTTTCATTAGGTCCCCGGTGGGCCAGTCCGACCCTGCACAACAGTGGGGGAGCGCTGCGCGACAGTGATGGCCGCAGCGCAATACAGTTCAACCGGCTCATCTACACTCCACACAGGCCGCAAGATGTGGCTTGTCGGAGCTTCTAAAATAGGTGAAGCTGGCGTGCTAGCGTCACTTTTGTGACGCGCTCACCCATACTCAGCACAGGCTGCAAGATGTGGCCTCTCGGAGCTAATATAATGGATGGGGCGGGTGAAGTGCGCTGGCATCACCGTTGTGACATGCCCCGGCCGCAAGCGCCGGCAGTGTAACTTGAAACTTTGGAATTTCTTAAAAAATAAAAAATTGCACTGGGCCGCATTACGAGCTGACCTGGGCCGCATGCGGCCCGCGGGTTGGACAAGCCTGGTGTAGGGTCTCCTGCTTGGGGGGGGGTTGGACTAGATGACCTACAAGGTCCCTTCCAACTGTTAATCTCAAAAAAATTTTTTTCCTTCAGTCCTCCCTCCCAAAAGCTGGAGTTTTAACTGAAATTAGGTATCTTAAGGTTACCATTTTTGATTGTAGTAGTAATACTAATCTTCACACTTACTAAATCGAGATTCATTCGTTTTCTCATTCTCTCTCTCTTTCACACACAAACAACCTGCCCAGTAGTAACTCCAATGGCTCTGCAAGAAATACGCCACTTTTAACTCCGTTTTAACAAAAAGCCATTTAAACGGAAAGGAAGAACTTCCTGACCGTCCTCTTGCCTTAAAGCCCAAAGACAACACTATCCTTACAGATATTTTGTAAAAAAAAATACGGTGTATATACAGGGCACCATTGACACAATTTAAAAAAATGTATTTATTCGGATAAGCAAACTACTTGAGACCAACGTACTGCGCTTACGGGGAGAAACAAGAGAAGGCAATCTTATGTGAGCCACTCTGAGCTAGGGAGATATAATTGCAATAAGTAAATAATTTCTTGAAAATATGCTTGTTCTGGGCGGGGGAAGAGTTTTATTGTCAATCCCCCTCCCGCCCGGTTCCGAAAATGAGCACTTTTCAAACCCTGGGGCGTACCTCTTCAGAAAGACACTTTCCTGAATCATCCCCTTCCTTCCTTCCTGCATCTCAGCGCCATTACAACAGCGGCTTTCTCGACAGCAAGAGACCGGGTTTTCAATCCCTTACGGCCAAGAGGCTCCAGAAGGCCGCCCTCCTCTGTGCTAAACAACTTGGGTGACGTTCCAAGCAGCTCCCACGCGGAGCATTGAAAACTCGCGCTTATTACCACGTGGCGGCAGCAAAAGAGGCGGCGGCTCAGGGCGGGATTCGAACCGGTTTTCTTGCCACATCCGCGCCGCGCTCCCGCGGCTCCGCCTCCCCAGGGCTCCCTTCACAAGCCCCTCCCCCCCCCCCCCACAACGGAATCCGAAGACACGTCAGCAAAGCCTGGACGACCCGGAAGTTCTATTAACTTGGCCAAAGGAGTTCTTGCATAATATCTCCATAAATATTCTACCGAAAGAGAGGGTTCCCCCCCCCAATATTTCTGGCTCTTTCCATAACCGAAGCGGCACTTTTGAACGGGGGGGGGAGCCTCTAAAGGGGAAAAAAAAAGCTACTGAATTATCCGCCAACGAGGCGTGACATCGGAAGTACTCGCCAGCGGACGGCTGTTAGCCGGAAGAAACCCCCCCCTCCCTTCGCTCTGTGCGGCGTGTCCGCTTGTTGGCGAGTACGGTGGCCGCGGCGGTTGGGGTCAACGCCGTTCTGTCTTTTGGGTTTCGCTTCGTGTTAGGAGAGCCGCGGCGGCAGCAGCAGCGATGGCTCCCAAGGGCAGTAGCGGCGGGGCTCGGCAGCAGTCGGAAGAGGAGCTGCTCCTGCAAGATTTCAGCCGCAACCTGTCGGCGAAGTCCTCGGCGCTGTTCTTCGGCAACGCGTTCATCGTCTCGGCTATCCCGATATGTGAGTGTGGGGTGGGGGAGAGGCGCTGGGTCCCCCCCCCCGCTCTTTCATTCTCTCTTGCAAGGAGGCATTCAATAGGAAAGGGGTCTCCAACCTTGGCAACTTTAAGCCTGGCGGACTTCAACTCCCAGAATTCCCCAGCCAGCTATTCCTTAGCACAGCTGGCCCCAAGCTGATCTCTGGGAGTGAGGGGAGCTCTGACTCAAGGTTTCCAAATAGAAATGAACTGGGAGAAAAGTGATGTCCCCCCCCCCCCCTATAAAACCTTTCCTGTTTTGGATGCTTGTGGCTTTTAAAAAATATCTTGCAGGCCCTGCTCCTCAGATATGAATAACCGAAGGGTCAGGAAATGAGTCTGCCTTGGCTGGAGGCTTGCTTTAGAATGTCAACCCTAGCAGCTCTGCTCTAGAATTAAAGGTAGCCTAATAGAACTTTGTAGGATGTAGAATGTAGCATTGTTGCTATTTATGGTTTAATAACTAAAAATATAGTTTAATAACTAAATAGTCCTCGCCTTACAGCCACAGTTAAGCCCAAAATTTCTGTTGTTAAGTGAAACATTTGTTAAGCAAGTTTTTTTTACCCCATTTTATGACCTTTCCTGCCACAGTTGTTAAGTGAATCACTGCTACGATAAGTTAGTAACCCAGTTGTTAAGTGAATCTGGCTTCCCCGTTGACCTTGCTTGTCAGAAGGTTGTAAAAGGTGATCACATGACCACGGGACACAGCAACGGTCATAAAAATGAACCAGTTGCCAAGCATCTGAATTTTGATCACACGATCATGGGGATGCTGCAAAGGTCATAACTATGGAAAACGGTCATGTCGCATTTTGCAGTGTCGTTGTAACTTTGAACAGGTAGTCTTCAACTTACGACAGTTCATTTAGTGACCACTAAATGAACTGTAGTAAGTCGAGGACTACCTGTGTTTCGAAGCCAAAAATAGATGATGGCAAATTACTGTTTGCCAAGAAAACGGCACTGAATTCTTAAGCTGAATTCAAGAATGCCTTTATCTCCTTTTATTCAACGTTCATAAAGATATGTTCATGCAAATTGTGTGTACTTATTGGCATTGTTTTTCCTTAGTCTGAAGTAGTGGTTTTGGAGGTTGTACAGGTAGTGATCAGAACTGTAGCTAAGCAAAGTGGTGGTTAAGTGAGTTGCACCAGATTTGATAATATTTTCTTTTGTCATGGTTCTTAAATGAATCACTGCATTTGTTAAATGAATCATATGGTCATTAAGCAATTGCAAGTTCCCCATTAAATTTGCTCATTAAATGCTGGCTGGGATAGTTGCCAAATGGCGGTAACATTTGGGATGCTGTAGCCATCATAAATACATGCTGGTTCATGAATTCTGATCACGGGATCATGGGTATGCTGTGATGGTCATAAGTGCGAGAACCAGCTCCTGTTGCTTTTTCTCCAGTGCTGTTGTAACTTTGAACCATCGCTAAATGAATGGTTATAAGCTGAGGACTACATATAGTAACTGAAATTATGTGAGAGGGTATTTCTAAAACAAATCTTAATGATTAGTCCTTTTATTTACAACCTTCTCAGGTCTGTGAAGCAAAGAAAAGCTGAAGTAAGATCATTAGCAGATTTGTGGTTTCACTTAGCGATTGCTTTGCATTATAACCAAGTTGCCAATTCCAATTATGGTTGCCAAACAACGACTGCTTGTAACTATTTTATTATAACAAGCCAGCAGGATGTATTGTACATGCTAATAATGAAGTCATAACTATCTTTAAATTTTTTCACCTTAGGGCTTTACTGGCGGATTTGGCACATGGACCTCTTTCAGTCTGCAGTCCTCTACACTGTAATGACCCTTGTCAGCACCTATTTGGTTGCCTTTGCTTACAAAAATGTGAAGTTTGTTCTTAAGCACAAGTAGGTAGTAAAACTGTTTCTCCCAAAATATACTACACTGCAAAATATTATTTCACTTTTCTCCAGATGAATTGTTAAAAGCCACTTCAAATCAGCCAGGGCATATTCAGTTATAAATATTGTTCCTTGCATTTGGAAAGGTTTCTGAAGCTGCCAGTCAGATTTACTGACAACTCTGAGCCACTAGAATGCGAAGCTTTACGGTGTTCAATTTTCCATAGAGAAATATGTTTTGCATATTGATTATTAATGCATTTCAATAGCAATCGTCGTGTTTGATGCAGTTGCAAATTGAAACTTTAACTGAAATATTTCATGTGATTGTCCCCAAGTAATGGAAATGAATATACCATTGATCTGAATGCTTTCTAAAAAAATAAAGAATGAACATTATCTATAGATATTATTTTAATATTTTAAAATTTATTGGAAAATGCACAATTAATAGCCAACTAGAGGACGCGGTGGCTCAGAGGCTAAGACGCTGAGCTTGTCGATCAGAAAGGCCAGCAGTTTGGCGGCTCGAATCCCTAGCACTGTGTTAACAGAGTGAGATCCTGTTACTTGTCCCAGCTTCTGCCAATCTAGCAGTTCGAAAGCATGTAAAAATCCAAGTAGAAAAATGGGGACCACTTTGGTGGGAAGGTAACAGCATTCCATGGGCCTTCAGCATTTAGTCATGCCAGCCACATGGCCATGGAGATGTTTTCAGACAGTGCTGGCTCTTTGGCTTTGTAACGGAAATGAGCACCGCCCCCTAGAGCCGGAAATGACTAGCATGTATGTGCAAGGGGAACCTTCACCAGAATAATGTCCTTCATTTCTAGTTTTGTGTTAAAAATGCATGTACTTCGATCAAAATATGTTTGATGGAACTCACTAAAGTCAAATGTTTCCAGTAATTGTCTGCTACTAGTTTACATGCTTTTTCTTTTATGATCCCAGGATCACTGTCTGGATCAGTATGAAACACAACTGATTGTTCTTTAATGACATTGAGACTTTCCTTTTAATATGGCTTTGTGCCTATGAAAATTTATTTAAACTATTTACTACTATGTACATTATTACTATTACTATAATCTTCCCATCCTTCCTTTCAGCCATCTCCTCCCACTTATGACTGTATGACTGTAACTGCGTTGCTTGTATCCTTACGATTTTTATTGACTGTTTCCTAGTATGATTTGATTGCTTATTGTGCCCTATGACTATTATGAAGTGTTGTACCTGATGATTCTTGACAAATGTATCTTTTCTTTTATCTACACTGAGAGCATTTGCACCAAGACAAATTCCTTGTGTGTCCAATCACACTTGGCAAATAAAGAATTCTATTCTGTACTATTCTATTCTATTCTATTCTATTCTATTCTATTCTATTCTATTCTATTCTATTCTATTCTATTCTATGGAATTTTATTTGTTTTGTTTTGATCCCGCCTTTATTATTTTTATAAATAACTCAAGGCAGCAAACATACCTAATATTCCTTCAGCCTCCTATTTTCCCTACAACAACTATTTTCACTTGTGAGATGAATTGGGCTGAGAGAAGTTGACTAACTCAAAGTCACTTAGCTGCATTCATGTCTAAGGCAGGACTAGAACTCCAGTCTTCTGGTGATCGGCAAAGTCACCAGTCTACTTTCATGTCTAAGGCAGGACTATAACTCAGTCTCCCAGTTTCTAGCCTGGTACCTTAAATTAACTCTCATGTTCATCATCAAGTTCACAGATGGAAATAATTTTGTTATTGTATAGAGAGGGCTAATCTTTGGTGGATGGGAGCTACAGGAAGTATTTTCAAAAGTGGTTGGTCTCCAAGGTCCATAGGGAAATGTCAAGTCACATGGTTATAACACACTTTCTTTGGCTATTGGAGAGGGGAGGGGTTGCCTGGCTTGGGCTCTGTAAGTATCCAAAACCAGCAATATGACATTGATAGTAAATGGTTATATTATTTGACTGGATGTCAATGCTTTCCTTTTTTAGGGTAGCCCAGAAACGGGAAGATGCTGTTTCCAAAGAAGTGACCCGCAAGCTTTCCGAAGCAGATAATAGGAAGATGTCACGAAAGGAGAAGGATGAGAGGTGCTGTTCTGCCACTATCTAGTCATACAATCTTACTTGCTCAGTAATTGGATTCTCTTACTCTCAAATAAGAGTTGTAAAGCTGGAGGTTTCTTTGGGGATCAACTTGCTGATTCTCACCATTTTATAGCTTACTTGATTTATTTAGAGTTGCAAACTTTATCCTTGCTAATTTGGGGCTCTTTAATAAAACAATGGAAAGGAAGGGATGCCTGTTAAAACTAAGTATCTTTTCATCAATGAATGGGCATTTTTGAACTGCAAAACACATGTGAGAAAACCTGCTTTGCTGATATCTATATCTATCTATCTTTTTTTTTTAAACAAATTTTATTAATTTTAAAGACAAACAAACCATCATTAACCATTAAATACATAAACCTTTTTCCATTATAAATTTTACAAGTCAAATAAAACATTATTTAATACAACATAATTCTATTTTAGACCATTTCCATATGAACATACAAATATCTCTTATCAAATTTCTCCTTATTTCTCTTTACTCTTATTCAATTTCATTATTATTATTATTTTTCTCTATATTTATCCAATTTATAATTATCATCTATTTCTCTCTGACTTGATTACCATTATTCTCATCCTACATTCCTGCAAGGTTTTATTAATTCTCCCACATACATAAACACACAAAACACAAAATATAAGACATCTTTTAGGAAAGTAACTTGGCCCCAGATACCTCTCTCTATATGGACTTCAATTAAGTTCATGCTCATCTTACATGCCATTACCTATTTTATTTACCATTCTATATCTTCTATATTAGCTTCTCCACACATTTCACTCTTCTTGATTCTATCTTATTTAATTCATTTTAATTTAAGTCATTATATTTGTATCTTTTGTCCATTCTTTATTATCCATTTGTCTCATTCCCTATAGTAAAAAGGAAAAAGAATTTCTCCTGAAATCACTAATCAGAGTATGATGCCTTTCTATCATCACCCTAAATTAACATTTAAAATAACACCTAATACCCAATCTGATTTTGCTTGGTACATTCTATCTAGTAACTTTTAAAAAGAAAAATAATAAATCCAAAATGATTAAATACATAGTTAAATAATAAATCTAAATATTGAATCTTATAACATTCCAATTATCTTTTCCAAAAACAAATGCTACAATAATAAGTTTATAATAGCATCAACACCATAGTCAATTAGACTCTTTAATTAAACTCAATATTCTAAACATTCCCTTTAATATTTTACTAGGTTTTAAAATCAATCATTACTAAACATTTCAATATTTTAATCTCTTATTAATTCTTATAACATTCTAATTTTCTATTTCTAATACAAATGCTACAGTACCATCTTATGTACCTTGCAGAATCTTTTTTAAAGAAATTATACATTACCCTTTGTCCCTAAAAAAAAATTCCTCTTTTCCCATCTTGTTTCAAAGCTTTGTGGCTTTTTTCCGCCTTCTCCCTTCCTTTCTTCTCCCACCAGGCCCTCCCCCCCCCCCCCCCCCCAGCCTCCGCCCCGTCAGCTTCCCTTCTCTGCTGCACTCCTCCCCTCCCCTGCCCTCCAACATTACATCGATTCCGCATCCCACCTTTCTCCCTCCTGGGTGCCCTCCCAAGTCTCAAGTCCTTCATCTTCCCTCCTCTCCCCCTCCCCTCCCTCTCAATCAAATCCTGAGATCCATCAAAGATGGCATCTTCTTCTTCTTCTGCTGCTGCCTCCATCTGTTGTTGTGTTTGTTGATAGATAGCAAGCGCCATTTCTAAAAAGAGAAAAGCTTCTTTCACAGCGTCCTTGCCTTCCTCCTTTTCCATATTCTTCTCTCAGTTCATCAACAGACAAAGCCACCACAAATCTTTTCTTTTCTTTTCCTCCTCCCTCTTCTCAAAACAACCAAGATGTTTCAAGAGCCAGAACAGTCCCAAAGTCCCAAAGTCATCAATCAGTCCAAGCCAAAACAAAGTTCCCACCCTCTCTTCCTGGGGCAATATCAAACCAAGAAAAAAAGAAAAACCCAATCTGCACTTCAAAGCCTTACTGCAATAAACTTCAGTCTTCAAATCCCTAAGGCATCTCCTCCAACAAGATCTCAATACATATATATATATATTTTGTCCTCTCCCTTCCCACCTATCACAAAAATCAAGTTTTTACCTTCTATAAAAAGACAGGTTTCTCAATATCCATTTGTTGATTCCATAGGGAAGGAGAGTAAACTTTCCTCTTCAGCACCTCAAAACTGCCGCTTTTTGAAAGCATCATTCAAAAAGCCATAGTTTTCAGGATGTTAAATGTGTCAGCCAAGGAAAACTTTCACTTCAAAAACTTTCTCCTCTTCCTCCTGCACATTCTTACCCAGCTGCCGGCCTCTTTGTGGCGGCCATTACAGACCGCCGCTGCACCGTCTTGAGGAAAGGGGGTTTTGCCGGCCGGGGAGGGGGTCTGCAACACCCCCAAACCCCTCTCCGGATCCCCCCTATCTTCAGCCGCCCCTGCAGGGCAGCCTTAGCCTCCAAACCCATCCGGATCGGAGGCACCAAAACAGCTAGCGCTGCAGGGATCGCGCAGTATTGCGAATCCCTGCCGCTAGCAAAGCCGACAAACCGGAAGTCCCTATCTATCTATCTATCTATCTATCTATCTATCTATCCATCCATCCATCCATCCATCCATCCATCCATCCATCCATCTAATTATAATGAAGCATTGAGTATGTCTGGACTAGTTCACTAACTAATGGTCCCTTTTGGAAGTCTAAATCTGTTATTGTCTTAAAGGTTGTCTTAAATTAAAGGTGTTCTTGGTAGTTTTTAATCTGGTGTTTGTCATTTATCATTTTATGTAATGTGCATTAGAAATGGTTTTCAAAACTTTTTTTAAGGCTTAATTTTCTTCAAATTTTTTGGTATTCATTGACACTTGAGTAATCACCATTTTTTACAAATAAGCTGAAGATTATTTCATTTAGAAAAACTAAGGTAATGCATGCTTGTTTTTAAGATGGCCAGGGACTTAGTTGGCAAGAAACCAAATCCTCTTAAGACCCGATCTGAAAAATGGTTTCTAATGCTTGTCAACTTTAATCAGTCTGCTGGTGGTAAACACAATGTACTAGGAGAAATTCCATTTCATTGAGTGTAGGTGTCAGATTTGGAGAAATAATTTCGTAGTAATTAATTTTAAAATCTTAAAATCCACAGAAAAATCAATATAGTAAAATTTATTTTTCACTTAGTGAAAAAAAAACATTTTTTAGAAAAATTGTAATTTGGAGAAAAATGGTTTTGTCAGTGCCAAAGTGCTACTAGGTACATCAAGATAAACATTTTTTTTTGCCTTTGCAGAATTTTGTGGAAGAAGAATGAAGTGGCAGACTATGAAGCAACAACCTTCTCTATCTTTTACAATAATACTCTCTTCCTCGTCGTAATAATTGTTGCTTCCTTTTTTTTGTTGAAGAACTTCAACCCCACCGTGTATCCTCTTTTAACAAAACATAGGTCATATAGCTTTTTGTGAATCATTTGTAGAAATAAAGGGTTTCGAACTAGTAATCTATATAATTCAGATATGGGAAGGAATGAGTAAGTTGTAATTACCAGGCTAAGCTTCACTCTGTCAAAAAGGCAAAAGAAAAATCTCTATAGTTTACCAATGGACTCCTACAGTGAGTCTGGAGTCAGTCTCATTGGCCAAAACAATTTTTAGAATAGAATAGAATTCTTTATTGGCCAAATGTGGTTGGACACATAAGGTATTTGTCTCGGTGCAAATACTCTCAGTATATATAAAAGAAAATATACATTTGTCAAGAATCATAAGGTACAACACTTAATGATAGCCATAGGGTACAATAAGAAATCATACTAGGAAACAGTCAATATAAATCATAAGGATACAAGCGACAAAGTTACAGTCATACAGTCACAAGTGGGAGGGGTTGGGTGATAAGGAGTGATGAGAAGATTAACAGTAATAGTAGTGCAGACTTTGTAATAGTTGAACAGTTTTGAGGGAATTATTTGTTTAGCAGAGTGAGGCGTTTGGGGAAAAACTGTCCTTGTGTCTAGTTGTTCTGGTGTGCAGTGCTCTATAGTGTCATTTTGAGGGAAGGAGTTGAAACAGTTTATGTCCGGGATGTGAGGGGTCTGAAATATTTTCACATCCCTCTTTTTGACTCGTGCAGTATACAGGTCCTTGATTGAAGGCAGGTTGGTAGTAATTGGTTTTTATGCAGTCTGTGTCTGTCCTGTTGGGTTTCAGAACCAAACCAGACAGTGATAGAGGTGCAGATAATAGACTCAATAATTCCTCTGTAGAACTGTATCAGCAGCTCCTTGGGCAGTTTGAGCTTTCTGAGTTGGTGCAGAAAGAACATTCTTTATTGTGCTTTTTTGATGACGTTTTTAATGTTAGGTTTTCTCAACTGTATAGCTCTTTAAAGCACATGTAGAGAGCACTGAAGTATTACTTAGAATTAGAAGCATCACTTCTAATTCACCCCATTACACTTGTAAGTTGTTGCCAACCTTATGATTTTTTTTTGCAGCATCAATTAAGTGGAAAGAGGAATTAGAAAGAATGTTTACTGAAGTCTACAAACGAACAGAATTGGGTCTGATAGTTATAACTAAACAATATTCAAAATTATCCTAATAGGTTAAAGCAATTGGCTAAAAATAAAATAATGGAATTTAACAATGTCAAGTTCTAAAGTGAGGAGACTAAAATAAAAGAATAGGTATAGGAAGGAGTTCTGATTTGGTAGTAGTATTTGTGAAAACATTAATCTGGAATGATAATAGATTGCAGGTTAATATGGCTAAATGAGTGATTTGGCTTCAAAAAGTCACCTCTAGATGAGTTGGATGGCATATAAGTCAAACAAATATAGCGTAATGTAATGTTGGGCTACATTAGTAGGAATATAATTTCTCAGTCGCAAGAAGTAATCCTTTATTTTCTCTGGTTAACTGCACCTTGAGCATTAAGATAAGTTATGAACTCCAGAATTGAAGGATTCATAATAGATAATTGAAAAGTAATCAGGGAACTAGAAACTAAGTCCTGTGAAGAGAGAGTGAAGGAACTGGGTGCCTTTAGCAAATGCAATGAGGAAAAATATAATTATAATCTTTAAATGAAAGGAAGCCACATAGAACTTGGATGGGATGGTCCACTGGGTTTATTTTACATAATTTAAATTCCCTGATCATTTAACTTTTGAATTCAAAACATTCTGCATCGAACCCAAGTTGGGAACATAGAACTTGGAGAGGATGTCACACAGAAGTGCTGTTTTCTCCGTCTGCAATGTAGGATATTGAATAATGGATTTTAAGTTGCAGGAAGAGTCCTGGAATTAATTACCCATAAGGGTGGTGAGCAGACTTTCACTGGGCAACAATTCCTTGTGTGTTCATTTTGATTCCTGTGCAAGGCAGAAGATTGGATTCAGTGTCCTACATGGGTGATTCTTTGATGAGGTGCCATCTCATTGCCAAAAGGGAATTGATAGTTCCCAAGTGCCTTGATTTTTTGCATTTTGATATCGGATAGCAGAATTCAAATATCTATATGTACTTGGGAGTTGTCTGTTGCACAATTCCTTTGTAAGACATTTATTTGCAGTAAGAAATTCTGGAAGATATGTTCTATCTTGCTAACATTTTCCTTGACAACTGCTTTTTCAGCAATTACATCCTCTCCATCAGTGCTTCATCTGGACTGATTGCTTTATTATCTACAGGCTCAAAGTAGATAGAATTATTTGAGTACATGAATTCATCTCTGTCCTGCCCAATCAGAAGAAGGTGGATTTGCCATTTTCTATACATTCATCTTTTTCGTTTTTTGTGATTAGATTGGGGAGCAGTTTTGTTATAAAATTATACAATGAAGATGAGGCATTCTAATTTAGGCGTGTAATGTGCTTATTCAAAAAAAAACTTCTGACCATTTGGGAGGGCATAGCGATACAGCTGTATCATCCGAGAAGTTCATCAACTAGATCTGGAATTCTTGATTAGAAGTTTTTTGGGGTTTTGTTACATTGTTATTAAAAAAAGCTTTGCTGAAAACAGTGATTGTATGCATAACTTTGTGATAAAGACAATTCTAGACTTAAATTCTGGTACCAGAATTTCCATTGCTAAGCAAGGCGGTTATTAAATGATTTGTGCCCAATTTGATAACCTGGGTACTTTTTCCTCAAGGGTCCAGGCTTGGGCCTGCTTTACTAGACAACCGTGGCCTAGTCTCCAGCTCTGCTTGTGTGGTTTGGGACCTGATTACTTGCCCACTTTCACTCCAAGCAAAATCTGCCTGCTCAAGGGACCCCCAGAAGGACCTCCCATTTCTCAAAGAGGCGACTTTGAGCTATGCATTCTCTTACCATAGCTAGCCAACTATGAGGGCGAGAGTAAGCTATGCCAGAAATAAGATCTCTACCCTCATTTTTAATATTTTGAAACCTTGTTAAGATCTGGCTGTTTTGAAGTATTTGGTGTGTGTGTGTTGAAGAGTGAGGGGAGACTCTATTGGGACGTGCAGTGGCAGTCATTAGTATTACTGATTATTACTAAGTATTAAGAGCCATGGTGGCACAGTGGTTAAGAGTGCAGTATTGCAAGCTACTTCTGTTGACTGCTAGCTGCCTGCAGTTTGGCAGTTTGAATTTCACAAGGCTCAAGGTTGATTCAGCCTTCCCTCCTTCTGAGGTGAGTAAAATCAGGGCCCAGATTGTTTGGGGGCAATATGCTGACTCTATAAACTGCTTAGAGTGGACTATAAAGCACTTACTAAACATAGATATTTATTATTGATATTATATACATTAGCTTTTGCAGAACATCAATTCTACCAATTGAAGTAGCATGAAAATATATTAAATCTTCAGATTTGTAGAAATCTGCTAAAAATATTAGTTTGCTACAGGCATAAAGCTGTTTGCCATGTATCTGAGCATGACAGGTATGCAATATTCAAATCCAAAGTGGGCACTCTCTGTTGGCTCCTCCTCAAAGAAGCCGATTATTTTTCTGGGTTTGTACAGTAGCTGCACAGCTACAGCAGCTACATTCTTAAGGAAGAGTTCAGGAGGTGGGAACATATGCTGGAAGTTGCTTGTGCTGGGTGTAAAGCACCTTTGCCTGTTTCAGTCCAATACAACACAAATGTGTACATTATCTCGAGAACTTACCAGTGAATACATTCTTATTATGAAGAAGCACATAATTTTAAATTAGCATCCTGTGGCTCTTGGAGAAATAGTTTGGCTTTATTTTGTAACATACACTTTCTTAGCCCTGGTGGTGTAGTGGTTAGAATACAGTATTGCAGGCTAATTCTGCCACAGCCTGGAGTTCGATCCTGATGGGTTCAAGATTGACTCAGGGTTCCATCCTTCCAAGATTGATAATATGAGGACCCAGATTGTTGGAGGCAATATGCTGACATTGCAAACTGACCAGAAAGTGTTATAAAGCATTATGGGGCAATATATAAGTGTTAAGTGCCATTGCTCTTGCTATATGGAAAAAAATAGAACTAAAAACAGCATTGAAACAACACTTAATCCTTAGAATGTTTCTTTTCCTGCTCAAAAATCAATAGATCCAGTCATATATTTGGGGCGCAAAATGCCTTTATTGTGTCCAAGCTAAAGTAGAAAGCAATTCCTGGTATACAGCAATTGAATTCATTTACATAGAATACTGAAGGAAATAGAAATATTAAAAAGGGTGGATCTATACTTTAAAATCCCAAGAGCTTGCTTTACTCACAGGATTTCCATATGAAATTTCAAACGAGGAACATGCTGGATGTAGAGATTGTGTCTTAGAAACCTCAGAACAATATGTGCAGGTGTTCCTTACCCCAATCCATCACAGAAGTGTCTTTTCATTTTAGGAGCTCAACATACCTTGGCTAAAGAACAGCATTAGAGCCTACTGTGTCCACTGAAGTGAACAGACAATGCTATTCTAGGTTGGAAAAAGATATAATAAATTTCTGCCACCTGGACCACACGAGTGCTGTTGGATAAATGCACAAAACCATGTAACTTGTACAAAGGGTAACTGGAAGCCTTTGATTTCCATGAACATGGTTTGGAGTATACAGATCACTTGTCTAAATTAAGATTCCAATTGTAAAAGGAAATAAACTGATTTGTATGGCAGGAAACCTAAAATAAGATTACTAATAATGTTCAATAGCAGAAAATAGGGAATATGTAATATGTAATGCATAGTTGATGCCCAGCATTTTAAAGCATGGGAGTAGTTTGGATCTTGATCATAAATTGCAGCCGTATAAATATTTAGCAAGAGACGATTTTGGATCTTTTAACCTTATTTTTAAAATGTACAGGATTGTACCATCAGAACCTATAATAGTCTGGCATTGCAGGGTAATTTTCACACAGAATAGAAAAATGTTACTTTCTAGTCAAAGGTAAACCCTAAGGAAACCCTGTTAGAATAAGGGTTCTTAGCTATCAAAGTGGACTACCATAATCCAGGGGAAAATTGGCTTTTTCTGGGATGTAATGTGCATGAAATGAAACCACCTGGTAGAGTTTATTTTGCATTGTGTTAAAAGGATGGATCCAAGTATCTGTAGCCAGCAAAAGCAAAATATAGACGAAAACAAGATACAAGCATGGTTAAGAGCTTTAAATCACACAGTACTGAAGCCCGAACAGTAGTTGTTTTTTCTCAAGTACCAGGATAATTTTGAACTTAAAAGCTTAATCAGTTTGTTAAGTGTCCTTGAATGAAGGACTGCATGAGAATCTAGGCTGTGGCCAGATATTTCATACCATTTGTTTCCTTAACATCTGCCAGGAAAATGGCACATTTTTTTCCATTTGAAGTATCTTTCATGGAAACCTGTAAATGAAATCTAGGAAATGTGGCAGAACAGAGAAATTCCTTTTGATGCACATGGGTGCCCGTGTCTTTTTTTTCTTCTTTTGGCACAGATTCTTAGCATATGGTGCCCTCATTTTTCAGTTTGCTTTTGCTGGCTTTTAGCCACATGGCTGCAACAGAATAACTGTGTGCAAATAAAAATTAGCAGCCTTTAATATGCCTCAACAAATGCATGCACAGAATCTGCACCCCAAATTCTACAATGCAGCCCTGACATTAATCTGGTTTAATATTTGGCCATTTTTAATATTCAGATGAACAGGATGACTGGAAAAAATCTAAGCACTTACTCCTGGTAACAATCACAGATGCAATTTACAAATGGAATGGGGGAAGGAAAGGAACCGAGCAAACAAAAACCTGAGGATTTCATTAAACTGTGATAAAGTACTTTCATCTACATAGCTATCAGAAAAGTATATAGCTCTACACACTATGTACATTTATTGTACAGTTGTCTAAACATTGCCAAAAAGATGTTAGTAAAAGAGCAGTTAACTACAGCGTTTCAATTTCCATTTCTGTAAGGAACAATAATTTTTCTCTTAATTTCACTGGCTAAGTGAACATTTTACAATAATCTCCATGGTATCTGTTTACTTCAGTATTTACACTTCAGAAAGCAAATTGGCATTTTTTAAAACAATACATTACAATCCAGCCAAAATCACATAAAAATCATGTTATTTCAATGGAATTGTACAGCAATTCCAAGTGTTCTTTCTTAAAGCATTCTTACATTGTGCTTCAAGCAAAATTCCCAGAATGCCAGAATGGCTTATATATGATCAATAAAAAACAAGTTAATCCTGCCTGCAGGTTTACAGTCTGAATCTTGCTTATAAGTGCTTGGCTGGAACAGATACATTTAAAAAAAATAGATGATAGACATCTATCTCTAATTCCTCCATTTCCCCCTGTCTTTAACAGTAAACCTTTCTTTTAGCCCAAACCCAAACTGAACAGTTTAGAAATCAATTCTATTTAAAATGCAAATGGAAAAAACTTCAAACTTACCTATTATTAAGAGAGCTTGAAGAATCTAAATCCCTGAAATTGTCTTAAGCTTTCAACTGTATCTGGCTTTTCATTTATTGAAAAAATATATCTGTACATCCTTTTTATTTTTAAGTACCTAAGGCTTAGAAATCTTTGATTCTTTGTATTTTCACTGCATAAATAGGAAGAAAGAAAATAAGACTCAGTGGGGTTAGAATCTATTAAGAAAGTCCTACGCAAACCCCAATGAACTGAATACTTCTGCATTTTTTTGTATTTTTCATTCATTAGAGTCAAATTGATCTGAGTCAAGATTAAATCCAAACTCTTAAGATTTGATATACTGTATTTTAAAAACAGTAAAGACAATCTAGTTTAGACAGATCAGCCATGTTACTGAATTTTGGTGGAGCATAACCACCTTAGAGGATCTAGTAAATTACAATTGCAGAATATTTTTTTATTTAACTGGATAGTATCAACTCAGTACACTACTATGTACAGAGCTGTTGTTTAGCCATGCAGTCCAGACTAATCATGCAGTACATTAGGATCTGTAGTCCTTTTTGCAGAAAGGTTTGTTCCCCAAAATGTTATCGATTTCATTCACAATGTGAGTTGTCATCTTTGGAAGAACCTGTAGGCAAAGAAATACACATGTACTTTAACTAGTGTTGCTCTGTGATTTTGAAACACAGATTAATTGCAAAGAAGCCAAGAAAAATTGAATTCTGTAATGCCTTTAATCTCCATATGATGGTCATTTGTTCAATCCAACAGAATTTGAAGCGCAAATACTTTGGCTACCAAATGAGTAGAGAGGACTCATTGGAAATGGCCCTGATGTTGAGAAAGATTGAAGGCAAAAGGAGACGGGGATAACAGAAGATGAGATGGTTAGATAATGTCATTGACTCAATTAACATGAATTTGGGCAAACTCTGCAAGGCAATGGAGAATGGGGGGCAGGCATGGTCCATGAGGATCACAGAGAGTCAGACATGACTTAGTGACTGAACAACAACAACTAATCCCAAAGAAAGCCTTTGTACTTGCCTGTATGGCACCAAGATTTTCTATCAGTTGCTCAGCATTGGATGATCCAAGGAGAACAGAACTCACACCTTCATTGCGAAGACACCATGCTGGGAACATGGGAAATACACAATAGAGTGTCAGTGCTCCAACAAATCCACCCCCATTCAAACCATAAGTCTCTAGCCGCATCTCTCAGAGTAAAAAAAAAAAAAGATTTATTAGGAGTGGCCATGTTGGCGTTAGCTGGGTGCAGCCGACGCTAAAATACATCATTTCCTCCTTGACCCTGGTCTTTCCCCCACCTCCTGGATGTATATTCTCCAATGGGACACATCCATAGCCAAGAGTCATCAATCATGCTCTCCAGTAATATTCTTGCGCACCAACAGCTTTGAGCTGCCAAGGTGATTATCTGATGCATTTAAGGAATGCACTGCTTCCCCCCCACTCCCTTTCTGCTGGCAACTAAAAAGACCAAAGGAGTATTTTTTAGTTGACATAGAGCATGTATTTGGTACAGCATTTTGGAGTCAGCAAAGGTAACATTAAATTGGAAGACTTAATTCTGGAAATTAGAAGGCCTTTCCCCACACCATTATTATTTTAGTGAAACACTTCTCAACTGCCTTTCAAAATTTCAGTCTTTCCACAGGTCAGTTCCCTATCATTTCAATAAGTTCGTAAAAGCATTAAGAATGAACTCAATAATATGTTAAAAAACAAAAGCAGTATATAAAAATACCCAAATAATAAATGTTTCTGGTAAGCTGCAAAACTTATATAGTATAAGGACTATACTGCTATTATTTAAAAAAAATGAAATCTCTTCTTTGTAAGAATGAATGTAAATTGTGAATATTATTTACTTTTTGTAGGAATTAATTAATCATGCACTTTGTGTCTTTGCTCATATGTAAATGACATAACTTGTCACTTTCATGCAGTTCTGTATTTCATGAACATTCATGAACATTGCAATTTCATGCAAATATCTATCAAAGGTAGTGTACATTTGTGGATCTATCTAAATAAGGAGATGCTTATTAATAGAATCTTAGGGCCATATCATATGAACATAAATAATAAAGCAGCTTTTTCTGTGGTAGCATTTAATTAGCAAGATTCTATAACCTGGAAGATTTAGTTGGATTCTGCTTTCATTTATCAGGTGAAGCATCGTTTACTTCCTTAGTTTGCTTCTGCTGCTTTCTTTTTAAATTTTGTGACTAGGGTTTTATTTGCAATTATGATCTAACACCTTTGGCTGGGGTGGACTTGAACCTAGGTCTCCCTAGTTCTGTAACCATCAGAATATACTTATTACAGTTCGTTTCAATAATGGCTGAAATTCATACTTGGATTTAACAAGTGGCTATTAAATTATTGTAACACCAAAAGTATATTTAAATCAATTGGATTCAGGCTTAAAGGACACCACCTCAATTAATGGGATTGAAATCATGATTAATTTAAATTTTCCTGTTTTTCATGAGCAATGCTTAGCACTGTTAAATCTGACTTTTAATGAAGAAATGGCAAGTTGTTAGCACTGTGTTTGATGAGCCATTTTCCATTTTCTCTTGAATGGAGAGTGTCTTTTCAATTATGATGATGGATTATGATTTGTCTTATAACTATAGCTACACCCAGCCGAAGTATTCTTCCTACTTCAGAAATATTTGTTCTATCATATATACATATAACATTAGTAACTTAAATATGTACAAAATATGTACACTTTGTAATTGGGATTACAAAGCCCAAGCTGTCATTTCCCACCCCCTGCATCTCATCCTACAACGAGGACAGCATGAACATGTTTACATAAGTGAATAAATGCCTACATAAATAAATTGATGACATCACGGGAAAATTCTGCAAGATATCAATGACAGCTTGTCCTACTGTGTTTCTCACAAAATAAGGCCGGGCCTTTTTTTTTTTTTTTTGGACCCCCGAAAAAATGGCTAGGCTGTCTTTTGGGGGGTGACTTAATTCCCCCCCTTGCATCCTCGGGCGGGCGGGCGGCGACGGCTTGGATGTTAACCTCGGTGTTGGTAAGGCACTTCGTATTGGGAGACCTTCTGCCACCGTTGCTTTCCCTTCTCCCCATGCTGCTGCGGCGTTTAGAGCAACGCCGTGGTGTTTGGCGCAGCCACGTGCAGCCAGCCAGGGCTCCCTACAACCGGAGCCCGGCGGAGACACTCGGCTTCAGGCACTCCTGTCGCCGCCTTCCCTTCGCCTTCGAAGGTAAAACCAATTCTTTTAAAAACGACATCCTACTACTGGTACGACAAAGCCTCCCCTGCCCGAGAGGGCAGCCCAACCCCACATGGGGAGGCGAATCTCCTGGGGCCACAGCGCAGGATTGGCCCACCCCAGGAGAAGCACCCAGCCACCATCCCTGCTGGTGCCAGGCAGAGCGTGAAGAGCTTCACCTGGGGCGCCCAGCGCAGCTGACAGGCGAGCCCTCCTGCCCGACGGTGGAGCTTTTGCCAAGGCAGCGAGTGCCTCCCTGCTGGGCCTTCCAGTCATCCTGCCAGGGCCGTGCCAGAGCTGTGCGGGCTGGGCAGAGCTGGGAAAGTGAGCCATGGGTGTGCCTGCCAAGTGAAAGAGCCAGGCCGACCCACGCTTGGCTTCCTTCCCAAGTGCCTCCAGCCCGAACCTGAAGGGGCCACCGGGAGAGGCCGCCTGAGGCAGTGATAGCGCCCACCCATCTGTGGACAGGGAGGCATGGCGACGGCCTGCGCCTCATTCTCCTCTGAGCTGAGCCCCGCCAAGTGAGCACCTTTGCCCAATGCTCGTGCCGCTGCAGCGTTTGGAACTGCTGCCACATTTGGAGATGCGTGGGGATGGGGACGGGCTAGGCGAGGGTTGGAAAGGACAGGTGGCTTCGGGCTCTCTCCGCCGGATCCGCTGGCCAGGGAAGCAGCACTGCCGTCCCCTCGCCTCCCTGTCCGCGGATGGATGGGCACAATCACTGCCTCGGGCAGCCTCTCCCAGTGGCCCCTTTGGGTTCGGGATGGAGGGACTTGGGATGGAAGCCAAGCTTGGGTTGTCCCGGCTCTTTCGCTTGGCAGGCAGGCGTGCACCCGCAGCTCGCTTTCCTGGCTCTGCCCAGCCCGCATGGCTCTAGTGCGGCCCTGGCAGGATGAGCGGAGGCCCGACGGGGAGGCGCTCACTGCCTTGGCGAGAGCTCCGCTGCCAGGCAGGAGGGCCCGCCTGTCAGCTGCACTGAGCGTCCCAGGCGTAGGTCTGCCCGCTCTGCCCGGCGCCAGGCAGGGATGGCGGCTGGGCACTTCTCCCGGGGTGGGCTGATCCTGCGCTGTGGCCCCGGGAGATTCACCTCCCCACGGGCTGCCCTCTCGGGCAGGGGAGGCTTTGTCGTACCGGAAGTAGGGCGTCGTTTTTAAAAGAATTGGCTTTGCCTTCGAAGTTGAAGGGAAGGCGGCGACAGGCGCGCCTGAAGCCGAGTGTCTCCGCTGGGCTCCGGTTGCAGGGAGGAGCCCTGGCTGGCTGTGCGTGGCTGCGCCAAACGCCAGCAGCATGGGGAGAAGGGAAAGCAATGGTGGCGGAAGGTGTCCCAATACGAAGTGCCCCACCAACGCCGAAGTCAACGCAGGCAGCACCATATGCGGGTATGCAACAAAAGTACTTCCTAACGTCAAGCCCCCCCAGCCATTCCCCCCCATTTCGCATGTTTAATATAGGCCTTAATGGGGGGGGAGGGACTTAATTTGATTTTATGCCTATAAAACATGCTGGGACTTCCTATTGGGGGAGGCCGTATTGTTGGATTAACACGGTACATGAGAACAAGCTCATAATGTCAGCTAAGTATCACTGAGCACAGAGATAAAAAAAAATTAGGAACTGGGAATGGGGTGGGGGGCGAACCCCCAAATCCCTTACCGACTGCTAGCTGAGGTAGTGTACATCCAAGGCGTTCAGCAATTGGGAAAAGTTCTTTCAGCTTTGATTGTTGCATTCTTCCTTCCTCATTCACAATTTTCTCCTTTAGCCATTGATAGCACTAGCAAATCAAAACACAATAAAAAACAATTTAAGCCCACGTCTGAATTTCAACTCCCAGAATTTCTACCTAGTTGCCACACCAGCTGAGAATTATATATAATGAGGTTCAGCACATATAAGGGGCACCACATTGGAGAAGCCTGGTTTATATCAGCCCTTAATCTCTCACCTTCGTTTTGCTCATCCCTGTTATTTCAAAGTTTTATCAGAAAATGTACTGTATGTACTATACATACACAAGCTTTATCAGAAAAGGTATGTATATATACTATATTTCCACAGAGGTTACTGAATGAAGTCACTTTCTGGCTCTTTCAACATACTGAATCAATGCATTTACCAATCAGTCTTGATTTACACTCACACAGAAAAAGAACAATAGTTATTATTAAGCAAAGTTTGCATGTTTGTGAGCATGTTGCTATTGTACAGAACAAAAATAGGAAATTTATGATCTTCCAGATGTTGAAGGAAATTCCCAATAGCTTTAACCAATTTGGCTAATGGTGGGGGTTGCTGAAAACTGTAGTTCTACATTCAGAAAGACTCAGATGTTTTAATCATAGTTTGATTTTTCACTGATATCATTACTAAAGGAAGTTATATTACACTAATGGCCAAAATTGTGGAAATCTTTTGGAGAAATGTCTCTTTATGTATTTTATGCCATCACTACAAAACAGAGAGTTCTTGGTCTCATCACTCCAAATAACACTGTCCCATTGTTCCTCTGTCTAGATAACATGGGTTTTAGCCCAGTTTAGTCTTTTCAATCTTTGTTTGAGAGATAAATGTGACTTTTTTTGTGGAATTCTAGATTTTATGCCAAATTCCTGCAGTCTGCGCCAAACAGTCCTTGCCCTCAACTTCGCATTGCATTGCATCTTGTATACACCCAGATGATTTTCTTCTGTCACGTAGGCACAGTCTCTTAATTCTTCTACCACTTGCTGTTGTGCACCTTTTCCTGCCTTTACCAGTGTGGTTTTGTAGTGACTGAGTCTCCTTATACCTCTTCAAAAACTTAGAAATGCTACCTTTGGTTAAGTTTCCACCAATTTTTCTTCTAATTTCTTTATAACTGTAGCCTTCTTCACTTAATAATACTATTTTACATCTCTTTCTGGGCGAACAGTCAACTCTTTGCACCATTACTTTAATGTTATTATGTTTTACAAGCTCACTAAATGAAAAGAACACAAAAAATCCAACCAACTTGATAGCGATCACATAACACAGACAAATGCCCTCCTCTCAGCTTCAATTCATGACAACAATAACTGAATCCTAATGTGATCTGATGGGCTCATTGCCAAAACAAGATGACACCTGATTGGCTCTCTAAATACTCACGCTCATTGGCTACAATCGGATGAAGGAAAGCTACCTGATATCAATCTAAGCAAGTTGTGCTTCCTTTTTCTGATTATTTGGCTATACCTTTTCATAGAATACAGATAATTGAACAAACTGTTGCATTATATTCTTGATTAAATTATCTTTCCATTGATATATAATTTCATGGTACTACTCTAAAAAAAAGCGGTGTTATTAGCAGGGGTGGGATTCAAAATTTTTAACAACTGGTTCTGTGGGTGTGGCTAAGTGGGCATGGCTAGATGAGTGTGGCCATGTGGCTGGGTGGGTGTGGCTTCTTTTTTTACAAACCCAGCCCCCCAGTTTTTGCCTTCTGGGCCTCAGGGAAGCCTCCTGGGGGGCATTTTTGCTCCCAGGAGGCTTCCCTGGAGCCCAGCACCCCCTGGGCTCCATTTTTGGGCCTCCTGGGCCTCAGGGAAGCCTCCTGGGGGGTGTTTTTGCTCCTAGGAGGTTTCCCTGAGGCCCAGGAAGGCAAAAAATGGAGCACAGGGGCTGCCTCCTGGGCCTCAGGGGCACCTCCTGGGTGAAGCAGTAAGACAGCGAGGGGGAACCTGGCACAGCTGATCATTGGAACAGCTGATCGTCGGGAGGGGGGGAAAAGAAGTACCTTAAGGAGTGACTGGGAGGGGGAAATATGGTCAGTGATGTTGGGCATGCGCGCAATGTCACGCATGCGCGATAAGAACTGACTGGGTAGGGACGGGAGGGGAAGGTGGAGGGGGCGGGGCCAGCCAGGGCACGATTTGCCATTTCTCCGAACTGCGCAGAATCATAACAACCGGTTCTATAGAACCGGTCTGAACCGGTAGAATTCCACCCCTGGTTATTAGCCATCAAACCTCAAAAATACACTTTTCTCAAAAGGTTTCCACAATTTTAGTCACTATTATAAGCATACAATGACTAGCAATCATGAATAAAATTGTTCTAACAAGAATGGTTGGAGGATGAGAGGTAAGTTTACTTCTACGTTGCATTTAACCCAATATATTTAATTCACACACTTAATCTGAGCTAAGCACAACAAAACCATTTTTCTATTAATCTCTTGTGTGGAGCAGCCTATCTGACTTAAACAACAAGCTGGGAAGCTGTAAAGACTGCTTTTGAATATACCACAATAACTGTCATGCATTGGGTCATCCTTTAAAATAGCAATTTTTACATTTTTTACATTGTTGCCAAGAAAATTGTCTAGACATGGGCAAAATATCTAGACAAGTCTGTATGTCAACTGACAAGATTTCCAGGTTCAAAGGCATGTCTTTACTTGGGGGAAATGTTGAACTTTCACAACTCAAAGTGCTGATGTGGTCAGACTAAAGCCAGAAGAATCTGGTCACTGATAGTGCCAGTTCTAAAACAGGAGTTCTTTGTTTACAATTACACATAAGTACTTGTAAAAATACACATAGTTGGATGAGAGAATTTTTAAAAAAGCAAAAACGAAAACAGGGATGAAGTATATTGAGTTGGAATATTCTATGAATGGGTGAATGGCCTGAAATAAGCCACTTTATATCAATTGATTAGATGATTCAGACATGAGACAAATGTGAAAAAATGGAGTGGCAATAATATTTTTTAAAAAATACTGCGACGTATGAGCTCAGCTATAATCCAATAAATGATAGGATGTTATCTAGTAGAATTAAATGGCTACCCGTCGACATTAATCTTAGACTGATACATGCATTTAATGTGATGCAGTGATTGAAGAGCCTGAGAAATTCTATTGGAAAAAGCAAAATGTTAAACCGCAACATCTAGAAACAACACAGTGCCATGAATGGATGTTTAGAATGCAAAAACTCGCAAAAGATCCTGGAAATACAGTCAGAGTCTTATTGAATAAATTTTGCTGGTCATTGACTGAATAAATATTATAGATTGACTGATTGACTGAATAAATGCAATAATACAGGTGAGATGGGCAGAGTTTTGCAAAGAAAATCTGTTTATTGCTGACTCTTGCTTCAAGCAACATAGATATAAACTCTTCAAATGGACATCACCAAATGAACCGTATTGAAATAAACCTAGCTATATATTAATAAATAGAAGGCGGAGAAGTGAAATCCAGCCAACCAGGACATTTTCTGATTCAGATTATGGAGAGATCATGATTACTAGATCAAAATATAAGGATGAAACTTAAAAGTTCAAAGAGAAGGCATCTTGTCAGAATATAAAAACAATGTAAGGAACAGATTCAGTTTTCATATGTGAAATTTGATGGGAAAAGAAACCAAGAGATGAAATAAGAGACAATGGGAAAGCTGAGGTTTTTTCTAGAGACCAGGATATATATTGTTATATATTTGTTTATAGTAAGTAGAAAACATGGTTCTGGGGCAAAAGTAGTTAGGGACTCAGGTGAAGCTCTTGTGAGGCAGGTTGCCCAGGTAGCTTTGGGACAAATACCTTCAAGGATGCCCTTGATCCATCAGGGACTCCACTGGCATATTTTCCTGAGATAATCCCACAAGCAAGTGGAGACCATGTCATTGCTCCAACTCCTACAAAATAACCAATGCGTGAAGAAACATTAAAATTAACAAACCATTAAAAAAAACCCAAACAAAAAAAGGCCAACCCCCCCCCCCCCAATTTATCTAAGAACAGTTACAGCACTTTGAGACTTAGAAAATGTTCAATCAGGAAAGAGGTTAGGCAAAGTAATGCAAAATATATAGAATGAATATGGTTTTATCCCACTTTGATGCAAGCCCCAATCCCATGTGGGGAACCATGACTCACAGTTCACCCATCACAAGACCTTCACTTGACAAACCCACACCTGAAGCCCTTATAAACAGAAGAACACTGACACTGACATCCTCTAAACTCCACTGAAGATGTTACCTTGCCTGGTAACAAAACATTCAGAAACCAACCCACAAGCTCGGAGAACGAACCTTCACCCTCATCCTACACCCAAGCGGTGAACGAACTTATACCCTCAATCACTCTTTCTCAGCCAATTCAGTTCATAGTCTTGTTACTGTGGGGAAAATAGGAGGAGGAAGGAACATTAGGTTTGAGTTATTTATAAAAGTAATACAGGCGGGATTAAAAAAATTCTAATCTTAGCCCTTTAAGGGGTGAGAAAATGAACACCTGTAGTTTTGATATATGATAGAAAAAAGCTGCGGCAATCGTGAAGAAGTGCTGTCAGTTCCTTCTGTGTGTAGGGATAATTTTTCTAGGCAAAGATTTATATACCTGTGATAATGATTAAACAGTAGGGGACAAGCACTGTCTCTGAGTATACACTTTGGACATAAAAAGGATTAATTTCTCATTCTTTTATGAAAGTGGCTGCCTTGGTACATTACCTATCTTGTGGTATAATTCCGGCAACTGAACCTCAACTTTGTCTCTTTGGAAAAGGTGATATTCTGCTTGTTCACATACTGGTGGGATCATATTAAACTGTCTTGCTACTGAATATGCTTCCTGTTGAGAATCAGCAGCAAAAGAAAAATACATTAGAAGGGAAAATTCCTCAGGCATAAAATCATACATCAATAAAAGCCACTGTTTTTCATTCCTTGTTCAGGCATATTTATTAAAGATCTGACACTCGATTTACTTGGTGAATACATTAAAAATATTTTGAACAATGAAAAAAGCACTGCTCTGAATGATCTGATAGGGTTTTTAAAAAATTGTAAAAAAAAAACTGCAGATAGCATTCTCTCATGGGTGACAAAACAACATTTGCAAAAATTTGTGCGCATTAAGGACAAAAGCACATTATATGGACAATTATATACAGTAGCTGCCATGAATGCACTATGGAAATGATAAATTAAAAAGCTACATTTTAAAAAGCAAGTGTAGCTTCAGTTGCTGGCTAACCGTGTATGAAACAGCTCTTGAATTACAAAATAATTATAGGAACATACAAATGAAGGAAGAAGAATGCACGATGAAAATTTAGGTCTATGTCAAGTTGATCGTGCATCTCACTGATGCATTATTAATCCCTATAAGCAGATGCCCTGCTGGTCATTCTTCTGGCTTTGGGGAACAGAGGAAGAATTGTAGAACGAGTCAACATTTGGTCCAATTCCAATGTTTCTACAATTTATTCAAAAGTGATAACATAGGAGATGTAGGTACTAATGTTTGTATATTTTGATGTTTTCCTACAATGAAAATACAAGAGGAAAATATTTGATGGCAACATCATGTACATGGCCCAAAAAAGTCAGACCATAGAAGCACTGCTGTTTCATGCCAGACTATTCTTGATGTTTAATTAAATGTGAATTAATTGATTATTGTTCATTCCTAGAAAGCTAAATTACCATAATCTCCATGGCACTCCAGCGCGAAGTCCCCCAATACATTGTCATCCCCCGGTCAATCACATATGTCATTGCTCGGACAATCTCTAAATCAGGAAAAAGGTAGAATTATGCAACAGATGCTAATAGATAACAGCCTACTTCAGAAGCCAATATATTCAACTTAGTCAAGAGAAATGGAGTGCATATGATGCTAACCCAGCCTTCATCCATTACTAGCATCTTTCACGTTGATGGAGAAAATCTGTAGAGAAATACTGAATACATTTAGATGAATTAGGTTACAGTGCTGTACACAGCCACAAATTTGATCACAAGGCCTATTAGATTTTCTTCAGATCTTGCCCACGAAAATAATGGGATAAGACTATGAGTGGGATTAGGACAATGTCCCTGTTAACAGATAGTCCTTGATTTACAACAGTTTATTTAGTGACCATTCCAAATTACAATGACACTGGTAAAAGTGACCGTTTATGACCATTTTTCACACTTACGATCTTAGTAGCATCCCCAAGATCACGTGATCATCTTTTACAACCTTTTGACAAGCAAAATCAACAGGGAAGCCACTTAACAACTGCGTCACTGATTTATCAACTGCAGTGATTCACTTAACAACTGTGGCAAGAAAGGTCATAAAATGGGAAAAAACTCACTTAACAAATGTCTCACTTAACAACAGAAATTTTGGGCTCAATTGTGGTCCTAAATATTCCTCTTTCTTGATCTGTCTTATCTGAGGAGTAATACATGTTGTTCATATTACAGTGGCACAAAATATTCAAGATACATTGGTCTGAAGGAAGCACCCCCCCACACTTACAGCATGGAAACAGGCACATCTTCTCAAACTTTCTCAGATCATCTCTGCATTTTCAGGCAGGAAATGCTGTTGTGCATTAATGACATTTTAGACAGTATCTATGCACCCAATGCACCATAGGCAACCCAAGAAAACTTTGTGCAAAAGTGGCTTGAATTGTATCGTATTGCCTCCTATACACTTACAGATTCATGTCCCTGTACTGTAGTTCACTTCTCTCAAATGAATATCACTAATAGGTAGTGTGATTATGTGTGTGTGTGTGTGTGTGTGTGTATATATGTATATATATGTATATAATCACTACATATAGATAGATAATATATAGATATTACATAAGAACCCTTTAAAAAGATTTTTCACACTTTCCTTTTCAATACATCTATATTCAACTTTGGCCAGTAGCCATCCTGAATAAAATCCACCCTTACTTGGAAGAAAGAAAAAGCTGTTAGCATGAAGTCTTTCCTCATTTTTTATGTTGCTTCTCGAGAGTTTTGCATTATAAAAAGTAGTGAGGTAGTGATGTGTACATCATCACCTAAAGAGTAAAAATATCTGACAGATGGGGGGGCGATAACATTTAGACTGTCTCTGTTTGACTGCCTTTCTAAAATCTTCTAAGCATGCCTATGGATATGCAAGAGACTGTACCATGTTGTTTCACCAAACATGCATGCATGCCCTAAAGACTTCAGGAAGGCCTTAAACAAGCCACAATATACTTGCGTGGCATCTTTAAAGAATGGATACTGAGATATGCTTCTTTCTTCATCTGCACAGCTCAAATGTAAACTTGTTTCGAAGCTACTTTAGAAATCATTAACCCAACCAGGGCGTATTGCTGCACTCGCAGTTCCTACATATTTTATTTATTTAGTTTAGTTTGTCAAGCATGTATGAGAAAACAAGTATAAGTATGAACATAACATATAAACATATAAATATAAACAGGTATTGGTATATACATAATAAATGAGTACGAATAAATGGGAACAGTAGGACAGGGATGGTAGGCACGCTGGTGCGCTTATGCACGCCCTCTTACATGCCCCCCTTACACGCCCCCTCTTAGGAATGGAGTGAAGTCCACAGTAGACAGTTTAAGGTTAAAGTTTTGGGGATGTAACAACAGAGTCAGGTAGTGAGTTCCAGGCGTTGACCACTCTGTTGCTCAAGTCGTATTTTCTGCAGTCGAGTTTGGATCAATTTACTGTGAATTTGTATCTATTGTTTGCCCATGTATTATTGCAGTTGAAGCTGAAATAGTCATTGACAGATAGGATGTTGTAGCAGACAATTTTGTGTATTAAGCTTAGGTCAGACTGTAGGCGGCATAGTTCTAAGTTGTCTAGGTCCAAAATTTCAAGCCTGGTGGCATAAGGTATTCTATTGTGAGATGAGGAATTGAGTACTCTTCTCATGAAATACTTCTGGACTCATTCAATTGTATTAATATCCGTTATACAGTGTGGATTCCAGGCAGATAAGCTGTATTCAAGAATTGGTCTGGCGAAGGTTTTGTATGCCCTGGTTTGCAGTTCAATATTACCAGAGAAGAAGCTTCACAAATTAAAAAAAACATACCAACTGGTGTGCCTAGTACATTCTTTTCTAGATTGAGAGGCCCTTCAGACAATCACTCATGCCCTGATCACCACATACCTCAACTACTACAACAACTAGTCTCCATGGGTTGTCCTTTCAAGACTGCCCAGAATCTTCAGCCCGATTCCCAATGCAGCAACATGGGCAGTGATGGGCATGCCTCAGTATGCCCACGTAACATCTCTCCTTCATAAGCTACATTGGTTGCCAGTTTGCTTTTACTGCAATTCAAGGTGTTGGTCATTACCTACAATAAAGCCTTACCTGGTAAAAGGTGACTTGAGGGACTGCCTGTCTCCAATACTGTAGCATCTGCCTGACCTATTCAGTCTCGTAGGGTTGGCAGTCTCCAGGTTACTTCAATTAAAAAATGTTACCTATTGGGACACTGGAAGCACACTTTCTCTGTCGAACCACCTGCCCTCTGGAATGAATCTTCCCCACGATCTAGATGTCTCATTTTGATCTTGATTAGAATAGTTATGAAAACACGGATCTTCACCCAGGTCTTTGGTGAGGGAGAGTGAAACCCCTTACTTAATTCCCAACCAGTCTGTTATTTTTACCATCTTTTAACTAAAATTGGCTATATTGTATTTCCCTTGTTTTAGTTGTCCATCAGACACAACACAATTTTTCAGTGTCTTTCTGAAATGCAGTATCTGGAACTGGGTGTAGTATTCTTAAATGTGGTTTGACACTACAGAGAGGAACCATTACTTCTCTTCAGTGGTGGGATTCAAATTTTTTTACTACTGGTTCGGTGGGCGTGGCTTGGTGGGCATGGCTTGATGGGCATGGCAGGGGAAGGATACTGTAAAATCTCCAGTCAGAGGTGGTATTTGCCGGTTCTCCAAACTACTCAAAATTTCCGCTATCGATTCTCCAGAACTATCAGAACCTGCTGAATACCACCTCTGCTACTAAAGATGATATTCAAGCAACCGCTAAAACTAGAGAGAGTCATCATGAGACAACTAACACCCCTAGACAGTATTTGAGAAAAGCCACATCAGGAAATGTCCACCATTAGAATAACTGGTATAAACTCTCACTTATTATTGCAGGATATAATAAGCACATGTTGAAAGCCTAACAAAGATTCACTGCCATATAATCCAGGGGTGGGCTTCAAAAATTTTAGCAACGGGTTCTCTGCTCGGTTGCTGGGTGGGCGTGGCCATGGTGGGCATGGCCTAATCCCTGGGCTGTAGAGACTTTCCTCAAGCTTCCAGGAGGATGAAAATGGCCTCCCCGGGGTCCGAATGCTCTCTGGAAGCTGGAAATAGGCCCATTTCCGTCCTTCCTGAACTTTTGGGAGGACCATTTTTTTGCCCTCCCTGAGCCTCCACGTGTGCCCTGCCTACATCCAAAACTGGTCGTGTGGGGACTCTGGGAGGGGGTGAGGTGGGTGGGGCCAGCCAGGAGTGGGATTTGGGGGTTTTCTAAACTGTGCAGAATCTTAGAGGATCTCCTGAACCCCTGTGAACCCACAGTGGCCCACCCCCTGCATACATCCCATGCTAAATAATCAAGTCAGAGCAATCTTACATTTCTTTCTCATTCCTTTCTCCCTTCCTGGTTGTAACTGGTATTTACAGACTGATCACCGAACACTTTCTTCAATTCTAACTATGAACTTCTCTACAAAAAAGTACAGATAGTTCTCAACTTACAGGCACAATTGAGCCCAAAATTTCCATTGCAAAATAGTTGTTAAGGGAATTTAAATTTTGCCCCATTTTAACATTCTTGCCACAGCTGTTAAATGAATCACTGTAGTTGTTAAATGAGTAACACGGTTGTTAAGTGAATCTGGCTTTGCTTGTGAGGAGATCACAAAAGGTGATCACATGACCCTGGGACATTGCAACCGGCATCAATACGTGCCAGTTGCCAAGCTTCTGAATTTTGATCATGTGACCATAAGGATACTGCAACAGTCGTTAAGGGTGAAAAACAATCATAAGTCACTTCTTTCAGTGCTGTTGTAAATCAAATGGTCACTAAATGAACAGCTGTAAGTTGAGGACTACTTGAAATGAATTTTTTGAATAGCAAAACACTTTATGAGTTTGGAATTCTCACAAAACTTCTTCAAAGAATGCCAAAAATATTGTTCTCATGAAAAATATCATGGCATCTCATGCTGTTAAATTGAAATCTTACAAGATTTGGCTATGTCATGATGTTTCAATCACAACATTAAAAAAAAAAATTGGTAAGAAGCACTTCAAAAGATAACTGATCCCTGAAGCAGACAATATACATACCTTTCTGTTATCCTTTCTAGATGCTTACTTTTATAAAAATGAAAACAAAAATGAAAGATGATGCTTTGGCTTGCGAAGACAGATGGTAGACAATTTTTTACTCCATATTGCTCCTCAAAGCTTGGAAACCAATGCCAGAAATCACAAAAAGGCTGCATTTCACAGTTATTTCAGCAGGAACAACAAGGGCATCAAAATTGTTTAGACAACAGGGTTGGTCTCACAACTGCAAAACCCATCATTTTGAATGTGTGTGTGACATTGATATACACACAAAAAGGGCAGGACTTGAATTGTGGTGCTCCATCTGCCATCTTGCTATGGACACAACTTTTAACGATGGCTATGGTCAACAGTTATTGTAATAATTAGTATTTTC